GTAGTGTTCATGAATCATGTAATGGAAGAAGCTGAGACCCTGAAAAGGAAACAAATAGTTCATGATCATGATATAATTTTCAAAACTGTCATTACCTCCAAAGGATATTACAGCGCTGGAAAGAGAAAACTTTCAAGAGTTTTTATTCTTCTTGGAAGAACAAAGAATGAAGAAGAGCTGATGAAAATGAAATTTTTATGTGGCAAAAACACAGAAATTTTGTGGTTATAGGACCGGAGGTATTTTATATATCACCAGCCTTGCTTTGGGTTGCTGCTATGCCAGCAATTGTGCTGCTTTTCCATTGCCATCAACTTTAACTGAAATTGAATAATTTTTGGAATTTTCTTGCACATTAATAAGGAATAAGAAATATCAAAATATGTTGAAGTATAGAAGGCTGGAGTACAATTTCACACCATGTTTTTCCGTCACCATCTTTTACAATATCATTGTTGTTTTACTTACTTTACTACAAGGAAGATCACATTTGCCTTTCTTGGGGTTTAATTCATCCTGGTAATTCATAGTCTTTTTATGATTCATACATTCATGCATAATTTATATGTCTCTTTCCATTCTCCAAATTCCTCACAGATATTAGGGGAGAAAGAAAGGAGAGGAAGACAATATTTTGTTTCTTTTTATAAATGAGGAAATTAACTACTACTAATGGTGACAGACCTCCTGAGATTTTATTGTTATCTCCACACACTCCACAGAATTATTTTTCCTGGACTCTTGAATAGGCACATTATACTCTTCCTGAGGTCTCTAGACAATACAGAACAGACAGTGGTTTATTTGAAAGTGCTCAAAAAACCACAGCAGTGTGTGAAAAAGACCATCAGTTATTCACAGGTGGCAGGGACATTTGCTCGGGCAAAAGAGGATGTGTGTTCAGGCCTTCAGTTAGAACATGGCCAGGCGAGGCAAAAGATCGAACTTGTGTATCATACATGGCAGATGAGTACCCAGACCATGAAAGGTTAGTTGCTTCCTTGTAATAATTCAGAAAGTAATTATTAGTGCTTTGTGTGGAAAGATTTTCCCATCCCATAATTTTTTTTCTAACTCACACAGGCCTACCAAGTTGATATTCTGAAGTATGAAAAATGTGCTTTGTATCAGTGAGAGTACCTTTTCTTTATAGTTTTGAACTCACGCTGTAATCACTTCATGTAACATCCAGTAGCTAATTATGTCTTCAGACATCTATCTAGTTGTCTACCACCACCAGGTGTTAACTTCCATTTTGTTCCCTTGTTTTAAAAGACTAATGAATTTTGTGAATGGAAAGAGGAGCCTATAATATATGTCTTCTTAGTCCTGATTGTGTACAAACAGGACTGTGGAACAGGGGCAAAGGTCTTCCCTGTGCTGAAATCAGGTTGGTACAAATTGTTTTTCCATTTCTTTCAAAACACACAATATCTGTAAAAGGTGCTTGGAATGGACATAATGCAACATTTTATTTAGAAAATATCAAAAAAGATTTTGAGATTTTCAGAACTTTTCTCCCTCCCTCCTGAAATAATAAAATGAAAGACTTGTGATATCAATTCTCTTCCACGTAAAGTTTCTGTTTCAAGGGACCAGCATTATCAAAAAGAAAAAAACATATTGTAGAAATCTCCCAAACTTCCACCTGTCTGCCTCAGAAAGAAAACACATTTTGTAGCTCATATCTCCTTTTCTTATGAAACAAAATAGTTGTTTTCTTGACAACATTATCCCAAAAGAAATTCAGCCTAGTGATTGTCAACTCTTAGAAACATCCTTTAAATCTTAGACACCTAGTGGTCACAAGGGGTAGACATCTCTATCTTCTAATTTTTGCTATGCATAGTATTAACAAAACACATACATATCTATAGGGGAGAGGTGGTCTTTTTTCATTAGGGAAAAATATTTGTCTTATCTGTTCTTCTAGCTCAGTTATCAAGTCTGATTACCAAGACATCTAATTTGTAGATAATTGTAAAATGAATAATAATATTTACCTGCTATGATGTGCTAATCAAAATTTAACCTATTAAACTCTGTATTCACCTCAGCATTGTGAGGAGAGAACAGAGGGAATTACTACATTTGCTTTATAGGAAAGTGAAACAGGGGGGAAATGCCTTGCAAGGTCAGCACAAGGGCTCAGAGAAGTTGTTCTGACTCCGGGCTTCTTTCCTTGGGCAGTGGTAAGACAGCCGTTGCACTTCACAGAAATGAAAGGCTGGAAGAGATCTCCCAGATTGCTAAGTGAAGTTCCCAGCTAACCACCATTCTGGAGAATTCTCATAAAATAAAAAATGAAAGGGAAAAACCTTTAATCAGTGGTCACAGTGAAACCCGGCATGACTTTGCAAGGACATCATCGGGTAATTGGTGTAAGGTGTTGCCTGAACAAAAAGGTGTGAAACCTCTGCTTTGCATGAACAGTCAGAGGGCTTCCAGGCAGCACAATGAAAAAAGGACTTGGTTTCATTTCCTACTGCTTTTGGAACCGATGACAACCCAGCTGTCACAGTTGAGTTACACACAAGGACCCCTCAAACAATACATGGCACAAGATTTGAATTGTATTCTGACACTTCTTGTAGCTGGGTTAGGACTAGTGCTCAGGCACCTTTTATTGCTGGTCCCAGTCCTATACAATGTGCACTCAATGGATCTGTACTAAGGGGCATGCAAGAAGAATTGGATGCTCTTAGGCTTTGTATAGTAATGGGGAGACATTTTCAGGATATACCCTATAATGCTTTTAACCATGTTGAATGACCAGGAAAGGCAGCTTAGAGGAACTACTTGAATGCGAGTGTTCTCATAACTTATCTGTTTGCAGTCCTTGGGCAATGAGGCCTATGTCAGTCTGGTAATTGGTAATGACAGTTACCATGGTAATTTGTCTCAGCACCAATAAGAGAACGATGTGAGGTGATCAGAGAAGTACCAACTGCTGCAGTTGATTGATGCGTGCTAGACAGGCTTAGCAAGGCAGTTCAACCTGGCATAGTCACTACGGATAAATGGTTTTCTGCAAAAGAGATCAGCGTTGCTGACTTCTTTCAGTTTCTGGAATTACATAATCTGCCCACCCAGCTCCATAGACTGATGGCAAGTAGATGTGCCTGAGCACATTTCCCACCTCATAAGATCTTATGGGTTTTCATAGATGTATAAATCTACATTTGGCCTACCTACTGCAACATGTCACAGCATATCTCCACATCATCGATAGGTTTGCACTGCTGTTCACTATATTGCACATCTGTGGGAGTCTTTCTATAGTGAAGACCTAGTGCCTTTTATGGTGCTTTGAAGCATCATAGAATAACACTGAATAACATTATAATTTCACCTCTGCAACGACAACTCTAGTAACCAAGTCTTCACGTAACCAGGCTTTAATTTTCCAAGCTAGAACTGAGATGCACGTAGTGCTATTACCCTAAGCACACTTACATGTGTAAGCCATGATGCCTGTGGAGTGCCGCATCCATTGTGAGGTGTATGCCTTCAGGCTATGCTCCTATACCCAGGAAATTTATCATGTAACTTTTGGTGCTTTGGGGTCTGCAATTGCTGGTGAGATTTTGTTGTTGCACCTCCAAAAACGACAATTGCCTGTTTGCAACAGTGGTAGCAGCTTAAACTTATTCTGTAGATGGAGGTCCCCTTTCAAGCTGCAGACAAGAAACTGTTGATGGAGCTGGTGGTCATTTCTGGAAATAAGAGATGCTACTGAGAAATCTAGCATTGTCTCATAAAGAACACTTGAAAGTCCAGACTCTGATGGAGAGCTCCAGTCACACTTGCTGTGGGGGATAATTTAATTCTCATCTGTTTCTGATGAGCTACAGACATCACCCACTGCAATCTCTATGAAACAAGCTCATTCCCATCCTCTTCCTGATCTTCTTTCTTTTTTTTTTTCCTCTGGACTCTTCCTCTTCTTTCCCTGAGGAGCCTCTTGCCTACCCTATGTTCATGTGCTAAAACATAAAATTGTTTTGATCTCTTCAAAAGACACTTTGTAGTGAGCTCTTTTCCTATAATATCCACCAAAGAGGGTTGAATTCCTCTACAATAACATTCACCTCAACTACGCTCCATAAACAGAGTTGCAGGTGTCTGTATACACTTGGAGACCATCCTTAGTTTCTGTCTCCTTCCATTGGTCTTTCTTATTTCCATTCATGTTTTTTGATGTCCTATTTTATACTCATAGCACAAATGAATGCACACATGCAAAACATCAACTATTGCCAATCAGAAAATACTAAACATGGTCATAGACAACTGTGGAAGAATCTACAGGGGCTAAGACTTAACATGAAGCATCATTGCATAAGTGGTTACCACTTGTCTTGAGTTTGAATCCAGAGGTGAAGAATAAGAAGAAGGCAGAAATGAATTTTAGGCCATGAAACAAAAACAATTGTTGTTTCACAAAAGGATATCTGTAAGGAGAACATTTAAGCTTCTATGTGATTCTGAAGAACTCAGTGGTAATCTCAGCGGTTACTTTAAAAGAATACCAGAAAGAAGTTATAGTGACCCCTTAACCACATGATACGTTTTCTTTTTCAGAGGCTTTGTAAGTGTATGCTTGAACCACAATGAATACTCCCCATGTTGTATTATAATTTCCCCCTTTCCCCCGATCACTTGTAAAAGAAACTGTCACGTCAATGCTACCATTTGACGAACCGCTTAAAAATTTTCCAGGACCATGCTTTCAGAAAGATGCTTTCGAGGGATTCCCTCGAATAGCCAAAAACGAGGCGTTCTTATCTGACACTATCTTGTCTAAATATACCCAGCCCATGCTGACGAAATAAAAAAATTCAAGACCAGGTATAAATACGACTGAGAGGCAGATGAAGTTCATTCTTCTACTTTCTTCTAATAGAGGATTTAACTATTAGAAGCTGAAGCTCGCTGCCTTTAGGTCTGACATCTCCCAGAAGTTATCTGACCATTTTAACTGAACCACCATCGAGAAGATGACTTCCCAGACTTGCAGTTTGTTTGTTCTGTCTATCATCATGATTTATTTTGGACGTTTTGGAAGTAGCTTAATCCTTGCTAATCTACAAAATGATATACAGAACCTGAAAGCTGACTTTGTAAGTATAGACTTCTGTGGCATTTCTCTTCTTCTGCTACTTATGCTTTAGATATTATCCAGATTTGAACACTGCTTGTCATAGACCTTAATGCAGCAATGTATAGGGAGATGGTAATCATAGAATTAACTTTTCAACTGTATCACTTTTTACAAGAATTTAGACAATTTAGTTTTATTTTTGGTATTCGCTTTCGCTGCCATGGTTCTCTTTTCCAATGCTGTTAGGTAAAATAATAGTTTGCATCTATTTCAGGGACACTCATTCCTTCACCAAAGTTCCACTCAGCTACTGATTACAAGGGTTGTTTTATAGAAGAAACGCTTGAAGCAATTTAGATGCAATTTACTGAAACATCTTTAATTTTAAGATAATAAGCTTAATTAATAAGTGTTGTTAGCATTAGATACCAAAATAACCAGAACAGAGAAAGGACTTTTGCTTTAACAGCTGTATCTGATGCTTTTTATTATTATTATCAATAATATTAACTAATATTAACTCAGCAATTTTCATTTAGAAGACTTCAGATGAGATTAATCATAGAGAGATCTAGATTAGAGTTGCTTCCAATTTATATCTTTTATTCTCAAGACAGGGCTTTGTTTGTTTCCTTTGATGCATTAAAGCAACCACAAGGTCTGCTCCTATTTGCAGCGCTGCAGAATTTTTGTTTCTTTAAAAGTCAAAGCATAGTGGTTGAGGAAATTACCTCAGAAGCCTAGTGTGATACTTTTTGATGTTTTCAGCCTGCTGGGAGATTTGCTGTAATATTGCCATTAAATCTTAAGTTTGCTATTAGCATATATTGGAGGGATTCTCTCCAGAGAAACAGCTAAGTTGGTCTGGTTTTGAGAACTTTTTGCACTGAAGTTATAAGCTCAGCTCCCCAGCAGGTGCTCAGCATCTCTCCGAGCTGCAAAACAGGGCTGAGCAAAGTGCTTAGCATGGGTGGCCAATCACCCACAAGGCTTCCACCAGCCTGCAAGTTTTCCCATTACACTCATATATTTAAATTACTGAGTCGACAAAAAAAGGAAACAGTGACTGTTGTATACAAAAACACACAAACACACAGAGAAAAGGAAATGATTCATTTTACCTTGCCCTTGTAGGAGAATTGCCTTGCTGTGTTTCTTAGAACCTGCCACGGTGTGCACCTAACGTTTAATGCAGTTCAGCTTGGGCCCGGTGAGCCTCTTGATAGCCCCTCACTGCTACAGATCTTTGACCACAGCTGTAGTTTTATATTAAGCTTAATTTGTCCTTGTTCCATGTGAGATTTTAATAAGGCAGGCTGAATTTGAGCCCACAGACCGTGTGCTGGTGCGATTTAGACTTGAAAGAAAACAATGCGAGACCAGATTCAGCAATTTTCTAGCCAGTCACTGTGCCTATTAGGATTTATTCTCAGCTGTCAATATCAAAAATTTTAAGGATCATTCAGGTGTTCAATATCTCTATTTAGATGAGTTAGAGGTAGAGAAGGCATTGAAAGGCATAATAATGCTTGGTACTATGCGGTCAACCAGTGTGAGTTGATACTAAAAGATACTCATGATATTTCTCAGAAGCAAAGCTTGTGATAGCTGAAAATCAATTGTGCAAAAAACATGCTTCTGTGTTCTTCAGAATTGCATTTGCTTATTTGAAAAGAGAATGCTATTTGGCCTGAGATAAATATTGTTTATCTAACGTATTTGTATTGTCCTTTGCAGAACTCAAGCCTTCCAGATGTAGCTGATGGTGGACCTATTTTTACAGAGAAATTGAAAAACTGGACAGAGGTGAGTCAGAACCAAATATGACAAAGCATCTCAGGAGCTTTGCAAGACACTTTTGGTATGAAGCAACTCCCCAGCCTCGCATAATCAGCCAGGGTATAACGAACACGAGCAGGGGAAGCCTCAGTAGCTTGCAAGAGAGAAAACCTTTCCCATAAAGATGCTTCCCATAAGGATGCTCCCTGATACTTTACGCCACACCATGAGCTGGTCGAGAGGTACAGACAAGTCCAGGAGATGAGTTAAAACATTTTTCACATGATCCTCTTCCAAGCTGCGTTGAAAACCCCTAGATGTTGGATTTTATATGTCATCTTTTGCCTGCTAATGGGCGCTCACAGCCCTTTCCTTTTGACTGATTGTTTTCAACAGAGAAATGAAAAAAGGATCATACTGAGCCAGATTGTTTCCATGTACCTGGAAATGCTTGCAAACACTGACAGGACGAAGGGGCATGTCAGACGCATATCTGAGGAGCTCTTCACCTTGAAAAACAGCCTTCCTGATGGCTTAAAGAAGCTGAAGGATCTCATGGACCTGGCAAAGCTCCCGGTAAGGATCTTACCCTCTTTCTATGGCCTGTGTAACTGCATTTTCCAGTTCAGTCTGACTCAAGACAGCAACAGCACACTAGCCAGTCGGGTAAACCCCATTGACTCAAATGAGTTCATATGGGAAAACATGATGTTTCCAGCCGAACAGGCAGAAGTAGGTGTGCGGCTTTGGTGTTGGGGCTGGCCTCCCGGGTTTTGCTGGCACCCAGCATGGCACCACGATGTTGGGCTGCAGCATCTCGCCCACTTCTGCACCCGCCCTGGCGCAGGTGTGGGCGGTGGGGTGGCCGCAGGGCCCTGTTTTAATTCTGTTGCCATCCACGGCATCTCTACTATGCTGCAGGGATACAAAAGTGAGACATACATGGAGATTCACTCTACCCAGGCCAATGAGGCATGTGTTTAATGGGGTACGAGTCTATGAAGCAAACCCCAGCCTCAGGCAGGATAAGTCCTGGTGAGCCGATGCTGGGGCTTCATCTGCTATTCCATACTAATAGCCAGAAATTACCTTTTTTTTTTTTTCAGTTTCCATTTAGTAGCAGCAGTTGTTTCAAAGGAGCAAAACAGAAAATATAGAATGAAGGTTGAGATTCAGCTCCCCAGATGAGGAAAAACCATATTTTTCACTTTAGTCCATCTCCATGTTTCTTTTAATCTTTTGTTTAGTGGGGGAAATTATTATAGTGGGGCTTGTCAAATGTAGAATGATTTCTCTTTTTGATATGATAAAGATGGCTTGTAAGCATTCATCCAGGCATTCTTTAAATTCCCTGATGGAGAGACATATTACTTACATGCTCCAGAACATATTTGAAGTTGATATTTATACTCACAAAATTACCATGATCTCAAAAATGATCTCAAAAATGATCTCAAAAAATGATCTCAAAAATAAAGGTCTTGAGAGTTATTCAGTACACTTGCTGGTCTTACTCTTAAGCCAAATGTAAATCATTTAAGCCTTTTGTTATTTAAATCAGGTTGAAAATTCACAGTCGGTTAGAAAATATCACCCTAAGAAACACCTGCATAATGACTTTGTGGGTGAAGGCCCATGACACAAACTGAGCCCTTCACGGAGGCCTGCAGCCCGTACTCTCGCTGAGCTGGTTTCTCGTGAGTAACTCAGAAACCCTGGCAAAATATTAATAATTAATAAGTAGTGCCATTTCATAGAACATTGGTTTTCTGTGCATGTTGCAGAATAACACAGAAACTGGAAAAAAAAAACACTTGTGAAATGGCAGCTCTTTGCTGTAGGAAAAAAAAAAAAGAAAACTTGTAGGAACAACTGAAAATTGCAGATTTACGTGTGTTTTATCCTGTTAACAGCATAGCCTGTAGGATGTGAGCATTAAATAAGAGGTTAGCAGCTTTTAGCATGACCTTCATTCTGTTTGTTTCTTATTCAAAACAGATGAGTGACCTGAAAACCCAACGCAAAGCTGTGAATGAACTGTTCAGCGTCCTGCAAACACTAGTGGAGACTCAAACTTCTGCTAAGAAGAAAAGGAGCCAGTTTCAGAGGAGATGCAAATGTTAATGCCATGATATGGTTTTTTGTACTGAGCTATGGTACAAATTACGTTATCATGCACATTTTTTTTAAATTTTAACCTTTTTACTGAGATCTTATGTGCATTTATTTATTAATATTTAAGTATTTTAAATAATTATTTATAAAGAAACACCAATCAGAGTATTTATACTTCCTACTGCTATTTGAGAAATGACTTTGTCTTAAAATTCTGTCTATCTGTTATATATTTATTGACTGGAAAATACAGAAGGAGCCAACGTGTACCCAGTTCCCACATGGAAATATTGAATTGACATGATAATGTCCCCAAAAAGCCATCTTGTGGTGCCTCGGTAAAGGGATGTCCTAAGATCAGTCTCATCATTCACCTATTTGGCATGGAAATGCTGGCACCAATTTGGGGAAGTATCTCTACTCAGGAAAATGCATTCATATTTGCTTAGCTCTAAGCATACGGAAGTCTAATTCCAGCAAATAGATGTGCTTAAAGATAAGCGAATGCTGAAGCACTTTTCTGAACTGAGATCTTGATGATTTATTGATGCTTGTTACCATTATGTGGCTAAGAGGCCAGGCTATGGAATAACTCAGGGAATGTGACTGTCTGAATGCACTGACTTAATTTCAACTTACTGAATTTTGAAAGAAGTTCTGTATTTTTGTGCTAACTGTTTGATTGTGTCTGATGTCATTATATTTATTTGGATGTAGCAGTATGGAAGTTTTTATCTTGGAGATTATATTTTTGTACTGGAATATTATTTAAAACTTTGAATTTCACAATGATGCTTTTAAAAATATTGCTATTAAATAAAAAGAAATATAATTAAAAAGAAAGTATGCTTGCATATTTATTTACTAGAATCTCTATGGAAAGAGCACCTGTGCTCTACCCCTTTTGCAGTCACAACCAAGTGACTCAGTAATCCTGGAGACTTGAACTGATTTTATAGGAAACAGCTGTTCTTGTTTGTACTCACTGCAGACAAGCATGTACTGCAAGCAAAATAATGCTGTGGGATTTCTCCCTTTCCAGGGCTAAGTATGAGAAGCCCCTGTGTGCACTGAACACAGCCATCCTGCCCTTTGGCGCACAGCTGCTTTGCGGGCCACCGCTGGGAAAGGAAAAGGAGCAAAGGGAGCAAAGCCATGCACAGCTTCTTGCTCTTCTGTTGCTTCTTAATACCATAATATAAATTGAGAGGGAGCAAACTAGAAGAGAAGGTTAAAATATCTTCCCTTTGAGTCTCCACATCACTTCTGACTGAATTAACATTTTTTTTTTTTTTTGAATTTAGAGCCAGGACTGCTTAGCAGCACCAAGGAAAGATGCTCACTTCATTACTGTTCATCCTATAGTCCCTGCACACCTTTCCAAAGGGGTCCAGGAAATCATAACTAAAGCCATTACTGTTTCCATGTGTGTGACGCTGTCTGTGCTGTGCCATGCCACGTATTCCCGCTGTTATCCGTGCAGGCTCTGGTGTGGCTCGGAGGAGCAGGGCTCTTGGGGGAGGACGTGGCTCAGCCACGTCATTTCCCAGGTTGTTTGCTGTGCTGCTGCTTGTGCTAGCGATCGTGTCTGCAGGGAGGGACCAACAGCTCGGAGGCAGAGCAGCAGCTGCTGCAGCCACCAAAATGTGCTTGTGTACCCTGATTTCAGCAGTTATTTTATTTTATTTTTAATTTAGAAGGGACCTTATGTTGCACTGGAAAGTTTTTAAGCAAGTCTTTCCTAATAAATCCAACAGAAGATTTTGCAAAGATTCACTAGCGCTATCACAGTTAATTTAACACTCGGAAGAACCCAAATAATTTGCCTCAGATACTAGTCTTTCCCCTGTGTAAGTTCCCTCTGAGTTTTCCCTAACCAGTATAAATAAGTGAGACCTATTTCTGCTCGGGGACACAAGATCAGCTGCCGAACTAGTCATTCCTTGCTTTGCTCTGCTAATCTGATAATAATGTTATAGAAGAGCAAAATAAAAAATCAGACTCCATGAGAGTGCATATTTTTTTTCCTCAATCGTACAGCAAACAAATGAGATGAATCATTTCTAAGACGAAAGCTTATCATCTCTTCTCTCATATCCACAGGAACATTTTCAGTTAGGTTAAATTTGAGTGTGAGATGATTTCTAATGGCTTCCTAAATATTTCCAACCAGAAACATATCAAAACTGTTAAACACTTTTGCTGATGGTCTTTACATCTTTTTCCAGCGCTGCAGCCTGAGGAAAAGAGCTAATAGATGCCTATGCATGGGAGTGAAAATATCTACTGTCAATCAGTTAAGCTTAGAAATGCAGAAAATCAGAAGAAAAGGAAAAAATATCTTCCTCCTGCAAGCTTCATAATTTCACAATTCACCTTGTATTCCAAATTGCCAATGATGACATTAAAAAGCGCAGGCCCTCGGAAAGCTCTATCACAACTGCATTCCCCTAAGTGCAAAGACCATATGCTGATTCCTACTCCTTATTTCCTATCCTTTACCCAGTTGCCTATTTATTTGAGGATTTGCTTAACAGGCAATCTCACTTTTTGAGTAGCTTTTAGTGTCAGATTTACTGCAATTATGTTGGAGATGAAAGCTGGTTTTGCTGCTTAGCTCTCCCTTGTCTAAACCCTCACTCAGTTAGGGGTTGGCAGAGCAGAGGTGCGACTTCCTTTCACAGGCATCACATCTTCCCTTGTCACCGCCCTCATTCATGGCTCATTCTCTATCACGATTACTGGGTACAGACGTCAGCTTTACTGGCTTACACTTCTCTGGACTTTCTCTGGGACCTTTAGAAAATCCATAATGCGTGAGCCCACCCGGTGCATCCCTGCTATGGGGAGAGACTCAAGTGACAGGTTGTGTCCCACAGTCAGCAGATCAGCTCTTTCACCTTTGAGTCTTGCAGGACCCTGGGCTGAATCTGTCTGTCCAAACCTGTCCTCCTGGTCACCTTGCTCTGCAGGTTGGGAGTGGCCAATGTTTTTTGTTTCTTCTTTTACTTAGCAAGAGGCAGGAATAACAAATGAAATAAGGTCCTGAAAATGGGGAGGGAAAAAAGAGATCTCTTAAGAGATCTTCTGGCAGAGGAAGTATTTGCCAGACAAGCATGATGTTTCCAGCCCCAAGTAGCTGTTTTTGCAAAACCTCCCACCTGTCTACCACACTGTGTAGGGCAGAAGAATGTAACAGCAATTCCGCAATGCATAGGATGTATGTAGGCCGCTGAAGTAGGCGAGGAGCAGCGTAACTGCTTGGTAGGAGCAACAGATGATTTCTGGTGTATTAGTGCCTAGTCCTGGCACTCGATAGGAAAATGAGGCTAGTCCTTCTCCACCTTCCTTCATTTATTTTTTTTTTCCTGTAAGGTTCCCACTAATAGCGAACAAGCTTTCCCTGGGAAAGAGCAAGGGAAGCTGGTGTAAGAAATCTAGCTGCAGAAGTAAGCAAGGTAACACATAGGTTACTGGCAAGAATGGCTATAATACAGTATCATGACAAGGGAGACCAAGATGAAAGAGGCTTTGTTTACCTTTTATTCCATGTGAGCAAGAACTGGCTATACCACTCCACTCACGGCTACCCTGCAAGTAAGCAGATGTCATTTGCAAGGTTTATCCCTAGATCATAGATCTGATATGTCCTTGATCCTAGGAAACAATCTGATCAGAGAAAGCTGGTCTGTCCAGCAGCCCACGCCTGGGAGTTGTTGCCACTCCAACAGCTTTTGGAGGTCTGCACTCAACATCTTCCAAGACGGGGTCCCACACAATATCTGGCCTGCCTTTCAGCCATGTGTTTGCTGAGTACATGGATATAAACAGGATGTGTGTGTGGTCCAGTGTGAAGTTTTTGATCAGTGATACATACAGGTATATTTTGTTTAGGAATTGCTGAGGATTTCTGTACATTTGTAGCCAACGTGCTCCCTATAAGTTCACCCTTGTAAGGAGCTGACAATTTTCTGGAAGATGCCATTAATAAACATTAACATCACTTAGTACTTCTCAGGTATTTTCTTCACGTCACATATGGTACCTGTGTAAGTAAAATGAGATAGAGGAAAATGTATCTTTCTGCATAGTCGTTTCCACAGAAAAGTTTTCTTGAAAGGTATACACCTTTCCCTATACATCTTTTTCCCATAGGTTTATATACAATGAACCCCAAAGCAATGATGCTTTGAGGGAAAGTCATTCCAGAACTCATGATTTTATGCTATCCTCAGGCTGTTAATGTCATCAGTGGTAAGGAAATTCCCCCAAACTCTTAAAAGCTCCTGGAAGTCAAAAAAGAGAATCTCCTGATTGGCAGGTCCCTGCAGAGGGCATGGACAACCCTGTCCTCAGTCCATTTTCATATTTACCCGCCTTAGCTATCTGTACTTGCTGATCGTGTAACACAGTCTTGTGCCCTCCTCTGCAGATTTTTCTTTTCATCAAAGACTATAGATGCTGCCTGTCCTCTTCTCGGAACACATTTAGATGTTCCATTATAGCTTCATTTTTAGAGGGACCATTGAACAGAAACACTGTGCAATTAATGCTTTTCCATTAATTTTAGATTTAATTAGTGGTCTACACTGTAAGGCTGCATTTACATGAACACATTGCCTCAAGCAAGCTTGATGCTAAATTGAGTGGTACTATTAACAAGTAAAATATATACCTGAGTTGAAAATTCAGCTACCATGCTAAACCAATGCTAAACGACTCAGTGATAGTAATAGTGAAAAGCTAACAGTATTAAAAGGACTGAGACTTCAGTATAGATTCTGAACATTGTTGATTTTAATATCAGAAATAACTGCTAATGTACACATTGTTTGTTGCTTATGCTTCCATGATTTTTTAAATCAAATATTTCACAAGTAAAGGATAGTATTCCTGTTTTCCCTAAACATTTCTCAAAATTCTTCAAATCTACACCAAGTATCTGCACCACTCTTTAGAAATATAAAGTATATGACTAATTTCACACGGTCAGAAAACCCCTGCAGAGT